CATTCCATTCATTGTTAGTGGGAGTCCAAATGAATACTGGCTACATAAATGCGACGCATGTGTAATAAAAACCTGGCGAACACCCTTTAAGCACAGGTGGCCCAAGCTTACTAATGACTGGCAGGTGGTCAAGGTTTCAAATCACTTACAGTCAAACCTGAAAAACCGTTAACACTAGAAATATTTCTGGAATGTTAATGTGTTGCAATAAAAAACACCAATCATGTGTGAGAAAACTAAACCACAAGCAAGAAAGTTAAGACAGAATCCACAAGGAAATTGTGGACAAAAACCTTGTACCAGAATAGTTTAAACAATATTGCATTCTTTTTTCCTTTTTTTTAAATGCTTAAGATGTAATTAGCTATCTGTAATGACACCAAAAAACATTTCTCATGGTGGTCTGAGAAAATGAATGTCAAATTTAACAAGAATTGTGAAAACACAGTTAAATTCTGAAAATTATATGTGTGAGATGTAATTTAGTGAAATTTGACATTCATTTTCTCAGGCTCCCATGAGAAATTTTCTTTGGTGTCATTACAGATGACTAATCACATCTTTAGCCCTTAAAAAATGTAAAAAAAATGCAATATGCTTTAAATTAGAATGTACAAGGTTTTTGTCCACTGAACACTAAAATTACTTAATTTCCTGATGGATTCCATCTTAATTAGTTTGTGGTTTTGTGGCCAGTTCACGTGTCTTGATCTTTGCTGTGATTGGTCATAACACAATAAACATTCCTGAGATATTTCAAGTGTTCACGGTTTTCCTGGTCGCACTTTAATGACTGACAGTCTTGAATAGGTTGTCTCAATACTAGATTTCTTTCCCTCTGTAGGGAAAGAAAACTATGTTCATACTTGTTTTGAGGTTTGTATAAGGTTACAGCCATAAGTGTTTTGATGATCTTACAGTAAGTTCCCGCAAAAATAAGTAACAATACGGAAGCTTAGGAAATACAGGATATTTAGATAGTCACTAAACATTCATAATCCTCCACTGTAACAGCTACCAGAAGGGCAACATATCACTTTTATCAAAATATATCACCAAATACACATTGGATAAAAAAATTACATGTAGCTTACCATATTTCCTTGAATAATAGCTAGGGGATTATTTCTCTTTTTGTTCAAAAAGGGGACAATTATTCGAGGGAAGGCGATTATTCAAGGGAGGTGATTATTTCAAATATTGCTGACTGGAGGTAGTGCCCTAAATATGTTGTTTTATTTTCCTATCAAATCGAAAGATAATTACATCACATAAACTGAACAAGGGCTTTTTAAGTATTCCAAATTTAGTTCCTTGCTTAATTTTAAGAGCTTGAATCGTCACTGACCAATTTTTCTGGGTCACATTGCACTTCAACTACTTGAAAGGGAGGGGATAAAAGGAAGACAAAATGGTGAGAGAGGCCCGATTTTTCGAGGGAAGTGATTATTTCAAATATTTCCGTCAAAGGGGGGCGATTATTTGAGGGAGCTGATTACTCGAGGGATGGCTATTATTTTAGGAAATACGGTATTCCCATGGAACTCTCTTAGTATTTCAGCTATTATAATTACTTCTTAGTGTTTTTTTTTAAAGTATAAATGTTTTTTTTAAGTATAAAAATAAGTGAGTAAGTATAAAAAGCACTTGTTTCTTTTGGCATATCATTTCACTTCCTCTTTCAAGATACCAATACTAAAGTTCCTAGTGACAACAGGGTCCGAAATTAACTTTTTAATACGGCCGCCAACTGGCGATCAAGTATAAATTTTTGGTCGCCAAAGGGCAAATTGTGGTCGCCAAAAATTTCCCCTCCCTATTTTTCAAATAAAAATTTAAACACCAATTAAAAATGCATGGTATGGACGTTTTTATGGTCAAAAATTGCACTACTTTCGCTCCCAATACCAGAAAGCAACCGTACGTGTACGATTGAAGTCTTATTTTTTCCACAAATTACTTTTTGGAGATATAAAGCTGTCTGACCTAGAAGGTAGGAACAGAAAGCTGTCTGCCCATAACTGCACTGATCATATCAAAACTCTATTTTCTTCCGATAACTACCACGAAATACGAAAAATTATCACTGAGACAGTACCAGGCCACAACTGCGCCACATTACTCGTACCAGTCCACAAAGTACATAACGTACTTACAGTATTTCAGCTGAAAACAACATAGCGGCTTGGAAACGTTCAACTCGTATTGATCGTAGCTGTTGTGGAGGTATTATTCCGATTACAGGAAGATTCGTTTCACTTTTAGTTAAAAAATATCACCAGGACAAAAAGTAAGACACCTGTTGGCAAATAGCTTCGAGGTTTCAATTCTTAATCAGTTTCTTCTAACCTTAAAGTCCACAATAACAACTAACTTTACAAGTCGCTAGCTGGCGACCGGCTATTAAACTCTGGTCGCCAGGACTAAATTTTTAGTCGCATTGGCGACCAGGAAGCCGCAATGTCGGACCCTGGACAATCATAGCTCATTGCATAATAAACTAATGACAAATTTTGGAAGCTGATTTTCCACACAGTGCTTGCAGATATTGAATAACAACTCTTTCCATAAATCCTGATCCTCGTGGGAATAAACCTTCTGTAAATCCAACATGTCCACCATGCTTTGTTAAGACCATTGCTACATTAGCACAGTTGTGTAATATAGTAAACGGAATAGATTCCTCTGGGGCAAATGGATCATCAGCTGCATTTAAACAACATAGGCACGTTAAACGTGCATGAGCTATTTTGAATGCTTCAGTGTAACCTTACCAAGAATGATGAATCTACCTTTTTCGTCCTAAATATAGACTGGGTTTTTGTGCAAAATTGGGTATTGCCGTACATAAATGAAAACGCGAAACGCTCAGCTGCGTCGATCCTCATGCTATATATCCACTTTCCTCTGTCTTTCCCTGTTACATTTGGTGCAAGTTCAGCAAATTATTGAAGTAAAATAAATATCTACTCACCAAACGTAGATTAGAAGAAAAACTCTAAGGTTTCCTCGGAGTTTCTTAAGCCAAGATGTGACTCATCGAATTCGAGTAGTTACGAAATACCAGGATTCTTATCATTGTGGTAGATGGTTGCATCATCACTATTCACGAGGTTTTCGCGTGCGATTCTACTCAGTGAAACAGTCCTTAACTCCAACAACTTATTTCTTCATGTTTTAAAAGCTATTGCTTCTTAAAAGAAAAGAGCCTTTTTTAAGGCATTGGTTACAAAACGAAACAGGTCTTCGTACGTTCAAGTTACTATTATTATTGTAAAAAGCCAATCTGCATGAGACGTACAGTCACACAACTGGCACGTGAAAGTGTTGGACTTTGCCCCCTTTCGTGGTTCGTACGTGAGGGAATTCGAGTTATCACACGTTAATCTAGTAAACAGAATTATAAAAATAACTCATGCACACAATTTGCACGTGAAGATGTTGGCCTTTGGCCCTTTTACAATTCGTACGTAAAAAAAACGCAAATTGTTTACTACAAAATTTTCTCAACGATTTTAAGAAATCACCTCGGCTTCATTACAACATCTGCAATTAAATTATGTTTCATGCAACGTCAAGGTTGATAGCCTAACATTTATTAACTTTGTAAGCGAGAGAATAATATTTTTAAAGCTTGTTTACAGGATTAACAATACTCGGTGCATCTTTAAAAAAAATAAGCTGCCTTTCAAACTTGTAAAACCACATTTTATATGCCGCATACTTTCAAATTAAAGTCCATATCTAAATATCAATTATTGCTTCACTGGAAGAGCTTTGAAAATATATGATCTTTTATACTCTACCTTGAAGCAGGTGAAACACAACTCATAAATACGTGCGTCAGTACCGTTCGTGATAGCTGAATTCGGTCAGAAATGTCTTGAAATAGCATCCACACTAAAATATGAACCCTTAAACAGCTGCATCACTGTACACCGCGTTTGAATCATGAAGATGTTTAATATAATCAGGGGCACCCAACGAGGATATAGTTCAAAACCACTTAACATAGCATTGTTGAACGTATTTTAGTATTTAAACGGTAGATATAGGCATATTTTTATCCCCTAAAAACTTTTAATCTGTTCGGATTTCCTAGCTGAAAGTCTAGTGATCCGAAAATTATAGGGATGAAAACTTACCTTTTCGAAAATTTTCAGCCAGGAAAAGGCTCCCGAAAATTCTAGCTGGCCTTTTTTAGGGTAAATATCCGTTTAAAATGGGTAATTATACCATTTTGTAGATGTTCGAAAATTCAAGGAGAGGCAGGCAAGCAAGAAATTTTACAACAAATGTTCCGAAAATTCTAGTTCTCCAATCGTCTTCCGAACAGATATTTTCCCGAAAATTGCCGTTGGGTGCCCCTGTATAATGTTTCCAAACACCTGTAGCCGTAATATACGACGAAAAAATTGTCAAGAATCAAGATGGCGGTCTCAAAGTGCCCTTGTTCGACCTTTAGAGCTCTTTAGCAATGTCATGTTTAAGTAGATGCCAAGATCTCATTGGTTCCTAAGCATCAACTCATAGTACCTTCAACCTTATTGGCTCTTGCAACAAACATCCGAACATACAAAGTTACAAAGATACAAAGCCACAAAGATACATACGCTCACACCACTGACATATGAGCTATTTTTTCAAAATAGCTCAACAATAATGGAACATTGATCTTCTCAAGAGGTTTGATATGTAATGTTGCTGCAGTGTAATAATCATTACCATCTTTAGAGCCAGATAATGGTGCAATAATTATTCTGTCATCAAATTCTCTCACAGTACGAAACTCAAACGCACACTTCAGATCAAAGGTGTTTCCAAATTCTAACTTGCTCATATTACGTGCTATCTGCTGTTTTAATACATTTCTCAAAAGTTTAGTTAGATGGCGATTGAACAAAAGATGATTTACAGGCTGTTCCAGGGACTCAGATGTTTTGAATAAATCCCACGGAGCTGAAATAACAGCTCCACCAAAAACAATACCATTGTCATTAACCTTTTCTTGTTGTCCCATTTTGCATAAAAGATTGGTCAATATTATACCCCCGAGAGAAATACCAATAACCATAAGAGGAAAATTAGGCTTTCTCTTCTTTACATGAAATATCACATACTCTAGATCACCAGTGTCAGCAGCACAACATACACGTAATGTCTTCAAAGGTAAGCCACCTAAACCTCTGTTATTAAGAACAGCAACGGAGCAATCCAGTTCTTGAATGATGTGCAAAACAAAATGACGGATGTAATTATGGTCACTTGTGCCTGTAAGACCAGGTAATATTAATACAGTGAAATGAGAAGTTGGAATACTTGCAGCATTAGCCCAGTCAAGAGCAACTACTCCACCGTCAGGCATGTGAATAAATTCCCTGCTGTAATCTACCGAAGGGTGAGATTTTAGCAGACTGGCTGTCACGGTCTGGGCACGCCCTCCGAAACACCAAAATGTTGGCCAGTACAGCTCATGAACAAACGGAAAGCTATGCTTTATCAACTTTGAAATGAATGACTTAGGCTTACAAATAATTCGTGGTTTTCTCACAACACTCTTTAGATAATATCCCGTGAAGACCATAATTCCGAGAGCTAAACAAAACGCAGTTGCACCACTGCCGCCTAACTCCATCGTTTTATTCCGCAGTTCAGCAACGCAGGTCGGCGGGTCGTACTTCCTTGGTCAGCCCGGTCGACCCGTACAGCGGCAGGCAAGTTGGGAAGTATGTATGCTATGTAAGCCGCAACGTATTGTCCCGAGACACTTTGGCAAAGCTTATATGACCCACTACCCCTCGCAAAAGGATGATGTTGAACATGGCCGCCACTCTGTGGAGGATAAGACACCTTCAGCATTCATTTCCATGTCAGTTTTTTGTTACTGTTCGTCAAATTTGTGTTCCTATAACATCGGAGCACGATTGTAAGGAAGAGAAACCTTCAATGTTAGCTAAAAGAAAGTTAAAAGAGGAGGGAATGCAAACGCATGCTAAGTATCATATAAAAGTCAAGGAACTTGCCGCTGAATTTCGTCTGAAACGATTAGAGGAAGAGAAGCATTTAAATGAAGAACAGCAGAAAAAAGAGGATATTCGAAAGTTTGAGGCCGAGACGCATGAAAGAGTCATCGAAAGTATTAATATGGAGAACAAAAGAATGCAACTGCAGAGGTATTAACAATAGTTAGTTTTTTAGTTAAGTGTCCTCATGATCACTTAGTGGGTTGTCGCTATATTCAATGACACAAGAGCCTGTTGTCGCTGTTCACAGGCTATCGTTGCAGTAATATACAACAATACCTACCAAAGAAAAGATACAGAACATCAGAGTTCCCAACATGTAGATATTTAGCAATTTTCCCACAAGTGCACATTGGATATTAGCTTATAATTAATAAATAGCTAACGAGATGCATAGATCCAATTTGGCTGTAGTCATGTCTTATATCCAACAAGGACATGTGAAATAATAACAGTGTAGTTCCATAAATTATCTATATCTCCCCCACAAAGAAATTAGATTTTCCAAGGGGGAGGGGGATGAATTTCCTTAATTTTCCAGTGGGAAGGGCATGAACGCAAGGGATTTTCCAGACAGGTAAGACACAACAAAAAAATTACCAAAGCAACATTTAACCTGACTCTCTTGAAGATAACCTGCTAAATGTTAGAAAATCAACAGACCTCCTCCAGAGAAGGCCGTGAACTAAAAAACAGTGCTAATCCTTCCTCCTGAAATGGGAAATACAGTGTACAAGCTCAAAGCTTTTAGCTTATGTAATGATGAGATAATTTACCATATGTGGTCACAGCAGGCTTATGAGCTGTTACCCTTGGTCCGTTGAGCCAATCAAATGCAGGAAATCCAATTACCATAGACCTGTTTCTAAGAAACATGGGAAAGTTTTGCATTTTTTTTCATAATGAATTCTCTCCCAAACCAAAAGAAAATGACATGCAGATACCTGTAACAGTGGAAGTCAATGTTCAATTCAAAAGGACTGTAGAAATGTACTTTAAAAAATTACTAAGATAAAATGCACTCCCTGATTGGCTGAGAGGTGTGTTTGCATGAGAGTATGTAAACATGGTTGTGACGTCAAGATGTTTTGCTGTGTGCACGGTAATCACACGCGCATGAATTTGAAGACGGTTTTGAGTTGAAAACTTCGACAAGTTTACTTTATTTACCCATTTCCTCTTGGTCTAAAACTTTCACTTTTAAGTGAGGAAAATCTGTATTTTGGAAAGCATTTTTTTGGCAAAACAAGAACTGATTATGTGTACAAAACTTCGGTTACAACACTTTGTGGCTGGTAAGAATTTCTCTTTTAATCAGTTCCATAAAGAGAGAGTTTTACTTAATTTTTCTCAGGGAGGTTATTTTATAAAAGCAATAGAAAACTTTTTTTCTGTGTTTGCATAGCCTGATATAAACACTCAAGGCGTTGGGAGAATTCGTGATAGTTATGCAAACACTCCCACTTCATCTCGGGTT